CGTGCCTCATCATCGGATGCTTTGGGATATCAACAGATATGTTAACAATTCGGCACTACGTGCCTCATCATCGGATGCTTTGGGATATCAACAGATATGTTAACAATTCGGCACTACGTGCCTCATCATCGGATGCTTTGGGATATCAACAGATATGTTAACAATTCGGCACTACGTGCCTCATCATCGGATGATTTGGGGTATCAACAGATATGTTAACAATTCGGCACTACGTGCCTCATTATCGGATGCTTTGATGTTATTATCAGATATGTTAACAATTCGGCACTACGTGCCTCATCCTTGATCGATACTCGAGTGCATTATAATAGTTAGCAATTCAGCACTACCTCACATGTTGATTAAGCTAAGTATAAGGGGCATAACCTAAAAATTAATTCACCTTCATGATCTTAACATCGTAACATTTACGTTAAGCTGTTTGCTGATATATCAGCAGCAAGACTGAGCAGAAAATAATTGAGACAGAATAATTGGTCTACGTCTTTATTCTATGACGCAGTTATTGCGTCCCGAAATCTAAACGAATAGATCAATAATATGACACCATAGTTGTACGAAATAGCGTCCTGTTTACGCGTACAAGTCAGTGAAGCGTTGCGGAATCCGAGTTGGTGCTGACAGGGTCGACTTACCAACATCTCTATTTTAGGTGGTGAATAATTCGGTGTATTATTTTTTAAAGATAATAGGGAAGCTTGTAAACTAACAATGTCAAAACGCTCACGGCTTGTCACACAATACAAAATACTAGTAAACCATTGAATTCTTCCCATTGAAACCACTATGCTACGGTGAACTTCTACTACCGCTAATAAAAGAGTAAAGCATATGTTATTATTATTCGAGAAACCAATTTGCTAAATCACATACGGACAGAATGTCCATAAGCAAAAGAAAAAGTGGACGACCTAAATTTCTTGGCGATAGCGAACAAAAATTTTAAAGAAAATATTGATAACCTAGCAGGCTGACAAGCAATGCGGCACTGTTTGTACTTGTAACTACAATGATTGACCAACAAAATCACATTTATAAGAGTTTCGAATATAAGTTTGAGTTTGGATAAAATTGTTAGCAGTACACAATTTTTTCACATTAGTCTATTTAAAAATCTTGACAAAATACAATTATAAAAATGCAGGGAACTTAGAGCGAGGTTAACTATTTTATTGCTGTTACAAAGTAAACGGCAACCTCAAATTTTATTTGTCTTTACATTTACAACAAAGATCGATATTATTAACATATAATGTTAGCTTATTCAATAATTTTGCATATACAACACAAAGTCATCCAGTTCAATGTTACGTGTAATAGACTTTAAAGCTTCAACTTAACGTTTTTGATTATTAAAAACCTCAGTTTAGGTATAACTATGTGGTATTTCGATATTATTATTACTTAACTAGAAACTAACAAGTGTTCTCCTTGGGATATCCCGGATAGTATTATGAAAAATTGAGCAACGAAGATGAACATGGGAAACTCTTTATTATTGAAAAATGTGAAATTATAGTTTTATTACGTAGAGAACAATTTCGTAAGAGTTCGGGCATTTGTCAACGAGATTAATCATGTAGCGAGTCTTCGAACATGGAGAGACAATTCCAGAAATACAATATTTTGGAGTAATTTAGAGAATGCTATATAGGAATATATAGCAATCTGTACATAGTTAAGTCTTTGTAATAAGTTTATCTTATTTATTTTATTACTCTTATCGTTACTGATTGACGTCCATATGATTATTTACTTATTACTATCGTCATGTTTACAGTTGCAATCTGTCCGTTCTCGCGCGTTATGGTAAAAGAGAATTTAAATTGCTTATTATATGATGTATTTCAATATCAAAAAAAAAAAGTATATTAATTCCGATTCTAATTCCGATAGTTTGCAAAAATTAAGAACATTGTATTAATAACCTTGAATATTATACTCGGATCTACTAAAAATAATATGGATTATTGTTGAATTGTAAAACGTTGGTTAGAATCATTCAAACAAAGCAGAATTACATCACCCTTAAAATACAATTATGAGAAAGCATAAATTTGCTTTTATCAAACACAAAATTACAAATACAAACACATTTTATTGGTCAGAAGTATGATTACAACATTTCTCTCGGGATGAGTTCTCCACACTGATTCCAAGATTAAATTTATTGATAAAAAATGCTAAAGCTGACCGATGAAATTGGGCGGCCACATTACACGCCTCTAGTACTAGTTGTTTATCTTTTATTTCTCCACGAAAACGAAAATAAATGTCTCAACAAATTCACTGTTGGATTCTCTTCACCCAATGAATCTGCTTTCCATAGTGCTGATGCTTCCTGGCTTTTACATAATCATTACTTCGCACTTTCTATGTCCCTATTGCCTCATCCTAAAAAATATGTGAAATTATAGCCTTGGTCTATATACGACTGACTAAAGAGTCTAATTGCTATGGTAACAGTTGTTATGCTCCTAGATGTTACCCTCTTCAGAGTAAAATCACGATTCTTTTAAGGCAAGGGATTTTTTTACAACAGAATAGGGTTATGTACTTAAAAAAGCAAGCAATCAGTTGGACTGCGATTTCGGTATCGACTTCTTTCTTGTGGTTGGAATTATCCCTTTCGAAGAGAGTTACAACGTAATCGTGACCTCTGATATGCCTCCATAACGAATCATATGGTGGGACAGAGCCCAAGTACAAGTGGCTCAACAATTTTAGTGTTACTTTAACCGTAATTGAATCACCAGTTCGCAGATCAGACCTACAACAGGATCCTGCCTTATCTTTGAAATGGTCATCCTACGCGTTATATCTTTGAAATAGTTAATAAATGCAAATACATACTGTAGATGGGATTTGCCAGACTTTTTTCTTCGTCTGATTAATTTTCTAAACCAAATTTGTCTGCCAGTGTTAATCTGTAGGTTTGTTATAATGTGCCTGCGCTAGTTAATGCGAGAGAGTGGTTAGTGATCTTGAAACTTGGCTCGTTATTATAATTCATGCCTTGCCAAAATACTTTGTGTGAACATACTAAATTTATTGAACAAGGGTAACGATTGGAACTCGAGTTCTTCACTGACAGAGAGGGATGGATGACATACTGGTCAAGAGTTGTATTGATTTCCTTTTTTCGGTGTTTGCAGTCAACATACTTGATACTCTGCAAGAATTGGTACTGGTAGTCTTTGTCAAATCCAAGTCCAAATGCTGACATATTCCTCCATACTGTAATAATGTTTCAGTTGGTTGCCCCATTCAGAAATCCTGGATCAAAGTTCGCTTTCGGACATTAAAAAATGCAGGATCATGTCCACAGTGAAGGTTGGCACAATTTATCGTTGCACAACAAACATTTAAAAAATTTCTTCTATAGAGAGTAAAAAGGTTGACTGACTGCTGTTGAGTCAATAACCATCCAACCCCATCATATTATTGGAGAGGTGTTTGGTCAATTTCAGCCATGGTTCGAATTTGAGCAGAGTGTGGCATCTCCTACTGTTAGTTAAATGAAATTTACAGTTGGCAATCTTTAACACTGGGCATAACCTCAGTGTCAATGCCAAATGTCTTGCTGAGTCCCTGTAAGAGTATGAAGTGCATTTAAATTTGTCTCAGTTAACCCTAGCTATTACTATGTGATCATATTCTATATAAGTAAGATGGTCATGTGGCACCATACATGAACAGAGCAGCCTATTACATTTTTATGTCTGCAAGATCATTTAGAATCAGGTTGGTCAAGTCTTGGAATTCGACGTGCCGGACTCGCCGATCATATCGTATCACGTGCTAGATGTCCAAAAATTTTTACTTTTCTTCTGCCTCGACTTTTTTGTCGATCAGACAATAATTAATAGTAAATGAGCAGCAAAGGCGGTAAAAAAGCTGTGAAAAAAGAACATTCAGCTGTCAAAGCGAAAGTGAAGAGTAACGGAACTGGAAGCGATTTGTCTGTGAAGGGAGATCATGCGACAGGGGATAATGCCACGAAAAACAAAAAAAGAAAACGTCCGAAAGAAAATTCGACAGTTAATAATTCAATGACCGTATCAGCGTCTGAGGAAATTGATTTTCCACGAGGCGGAAGCATTGTCCAAAAACCGACAAGAAAACCTGCGGTTTTCGTGAATCATGTAATCAAAGTACAGACGAATTGATTAAATTCAGAACGCGTAGGATGTCGACGTGAACGATTAACATTGTTTGACGATTTTTGGTATAGGATGAGCAAGACGAGACACAGGAGAGCACAGAGTCACCTAAAAAGAAACGTAAACGTTCCGACACCAGCAAACATGTCAAACATGCTCCGAATGACGGGACCAATCGCGTTATACGCACAGTAGAGATACTGACTTTCAACGTAACCAGTTTTCTTTCAATCGCACTATCGTGATCCAGTTTTCTATTCACTAACTTTGAATTACATCTCACGCTCGAACAGAAATTGACTGTTGGTACATGTCTCCTGGGTCAAATCCAGCAGATTGACGACATCGAGCTTACCGTTTCACTGCCAAACCAACTTATTGGCTATGTATCGATAACTCAAATTTCCTCGGCCATTTCCAGGGCTGTTGAGACAGCAGCTAATGCTGATTCTGACGACGAAATGTCAGATGCAGATAACCCATTATTGCCTGATCTGAAGGATTTGTTTGCTGTTGGGCAATGGGTCCGGTGTGCCGTTCTTGGAAAAGAAGGAGATGATGACAATGAAAGAGACAAACACAAAAAGAGACGAGTGGAATTGAGTTTGAATCCAGAAATTGTGAATAATGGCATTGTTGTCGACGATCTTGTCAAAGGCATGGTGAGTTGAGGTTTGAGTTGGGTTGAAGGGTGATGATATAAAATTATGTTAATTTATTCACTATTCCTATGCTATCATTGAAGGTGTTGTCTGCTGTAGTAGACAGCATCGAGGACCATGGCTATATTATCTCCTTAGGATTGGATGGAATAAATGGCTTCTTACATGATAAGGATACCAAAAATTATATTTCAATGTGTAACAACAATCAACGCTTAATAGTTGGACAACTGCTCATAGTAAGCGTCCTCAAAGTGAACGATGATCGCCGAACTGTTAAAGTAACAGTTGACCCAAAAATTTTATCATTCTCTCCAATATCTGATGCCGTTTCCAACATTGCCTCTTTAACCCCGGGAAACCTCGTCGAAGTATTGATAACTGAAATCCAAGCCAACGGCCTTAATGGTAAAATTATGGGATTCTTTGACGGTATCATAAACTGGTTCCATGTTGGCGAAAAGTTTGTTACAGGACTTAAGGACTTGGAGAGTAAATTTAAGCCGAGTATGAAAATACGAGCGCGGGTTATCTATACCATGTTTTCGAATACCGAGAAAAAGATTGGTTTGTCGGCTGCTACCCATGTGAAGAGTCTGGGATTTCCAAAAGTGAATGATACAGCATTTCCGATTGGGACTATATTTGAGAAAGTTGTCGTAAAGAGAGTTGATAGTAAGTTTGGATTAGTCGTTGATATTGAAAATTTGGATATTGCTGGATACGTGCAAGTATGGTATTATTCCTGTATTCATGCCGTGGTTTGTTTACTGTATCTTGGTATTTATTATATTTTTATTACGCAGAAATCACAAATTTCCGATGAGCCGATTGTCTCTCTTCCTGCAACTAGTGGTAACTTTAGGATAGACTCTGTTCATCGTGCACGTGTCGTGGGATATTCTATGGTAGATGGGTTATTACAGCTATCTCTTAGGGAATCCGTGCTGAATCAAGCCTTTTTAAGGCATGAAGATGTCCAAGTTGGGCAAGTGGTCAAGGTATGTTCCTCACTTGCAAGTAGTAAACTATTTCAATGTAATTAATTGATTCATGCCCTAACAGTCATTTGTTTACTTATTCCCAGGGCACCGTAAGAAGAATAACTTCTAGCGGCTTCATAATATCTCTAGCCGAGAACATAACGGCACTCGCTCCAACTATTCATTTGTCTGATGTCAAACTTACTCATCCAGAACGCAAGTTTAAACCTCAAGATACGGTCAAATGTCGCGTTCTAGTCACAAACCCATCCGAAAAGCGTGTCTCGGTCACATTAAAGAAAACCCTGGTTAATAGTAACCTTCCTATTGTTGCATCTCTCGCTGATGCAAAAGAAGGTTTAGTTACTCATGCCGTCATAACGGGAATGAATCGAGCCGGCTGTTTTGTTACTTTTTATAATGGTTTTTCTACATTTGTACCGGTAGGAGAATGTAGTGAGACTTTTGTAAACGATGTTAGTGAGAAGTTCTCAATCGGGCAGACAATAAAGTGTAGAGTTGTGAGTGTCGACCAAGAGAAAAAGTCACTTAGGGTTAGTTTCCGAACAAATGTCGGGAGCGAGAAGGTGCACAAGGATGTGGATATGGATATGGGTTTGAGCGATACGAAGGCTGGTGAGGTATTTGCAGTCAATCTACTCGTATTCTCTACGATTCACTGTTTTGGGGAAAGACGTCGGCTCATCTGATCGTTTTCTTAGATAACAAAGGGCAAGGTTGTCTCCATAAAATCAAATACATTCATTCTCTCACTACAACCCTCTCAAACCCGCGCCGTCCTGCACATGTCACATTTATCGGATCATATCGGTTCTCATACACAGAAACTGTTTGAATCGATAAAAGTTGGCGACGATTTGCATGATATTGTGGTGATTGCAACGAATGAAAGTAAAAATGCTGTTTATGTGAGTAAGAAGCCGATGCTTGTACGGGCATGCAAGGAAGGAAAGTTACCGGAAAAGTTGGAAGATGTAAATGTTGGGGATTTCGTAGTTGGATACGTCAAAGTGGTGACAGATTTTAAGGTCGTGGTGAGATTTTTGGGTGAGTTCGAAGGGGTGGCTATGAGACACGTGAGTATTTGTGATTATGTGTCCTATCTACTTTTCTGATTTAACCAGCGCATGATTATTATCTACGTATATTAATTGCTTCTCCCTTATAGACAATAGCGGATCAGTACATTGCAACCCCTATTGGCCTGTTTCATCTATTCCAAACGGTAATCTGCCGTATCACCGGCATAGACACAGAACGTCGTAAACTCGAACTCACTCTCAAGCCCTCAGAGACGCCAATATCATCTATTCCGTACATATCCGAGGATGATTTCATTAAATCCTATTTTGCCGAAATCCCTCAACCATCTTTTGCAAAGTTTATTCAAATAGGGCAGAAAGTAAAAGCCAAGGTGACACAAATAACAGAGGATGCATGGAACGTCGAAATGGAGAATAGTGTTAATGGTATTGTTCGGAAAGAACAAACAGGTGGAGCGGTAGTGAACATTGGAGATGTTGTAGATGCGATTGTATTAGATGTCGGCGATACAGAGAATACAGTTTACTTGAGTACAAGAACGGAACTAGTTGAAAGTGCTGGGAAAGATAAAGAAGCTAAGACGAAACTTGTAAGTATAGTTTACTTTTTTATTCATTATTACAACATTTGGTTATTGCATTTGTTTGATTTTATTAATGCAAACTCAATGTGACGTTAATTCAGTACAAAATATTGAAGAGTTTGGCTAAAGACGGTATACCAACTGAGGCAATAGTCGAACTCGTAAAAGAAGATTATGTTGTTCTTTCGCTCTCCGACTATTCATATCAATTATCTTTTGCGCCGCTAAAATCCTACAACCAACGCTCAAAGCCGCTTTTCCGAGTTAAACCATTACTCAAGATCCAAATCAAAGTCATACACGTTCCCAAACCAAAAAGGAAATCCTTCGATCGTGGGATTTCACTTATCCATTCAACGCCATCTGGCTCCACTGTTAAGAGCGACAGCTCCCTACTGACACTAAAAGATTTCAAGGAAGGTCAAAAGGTCATGGGAACAGTGACAGGAGTCGAGAAGTATGGTGTATTTATAAACATTGACAATAGTAAAGTTGCAGGATTGTGTCATATCTCGAAAATTTCAGACAACTTTGTCAAAGATGTATCTAAATTGTTTTCTATCGGGCAAAAGTTAAAGACATGTATATTGAATATTGATCATGAAAAAGAAAAAATATTTTTTGGACTCAAGCAATCGTACTTTGAAGACGAGGAAAACGCAACTATGGAAAACACCGTCGGAGAGGTTAGCTGACTTTTTTTTTATATAAATTGATTGTTAAAACTGTCACAAGAGTCTTTCTCACTGTAATACTACTATTTCCAAGATTCATGACATCGACACAAGTAAACCCGACAGCAGTCTCTGCTTAGAGCTAGACTCTGACGCTGAAACGTTCCTATCACAATCTGTTCCTATGACTGTTGAAAACACCACTAAGATTAGCTCCGTATTTACAAACGAAGATGTAGCTCCACTACCGCTTTCTGATTCATGGAATTGGATTAATGTCGATGATGGTAACGGACAATCGAACACCAATCCCGACAATGAAAGTCTATCAGATGCAACAGATGATGACAACCCAAAGAAAAAAAAGAAAAAGAAAAAGAAAAAGAATTTGATCGAGGCCAAGGACATCACCGAAGATATCTCAAAACGCAAACCGGAATCCAATGCCGACTTTGAAAGAGTTTTACTCGGCTCACCTAATTCCTCTTATATGTGGATAAACTACATGGCTCATCAATTGAATCTATCCGAAATAGACAAAGCACGAGAGATAGCTGAGCGTGCATTGAAGACGATAAATTATCGGGAAGAACAGGAAAAGATGAACGTATGGACTGCATTTATGAATTTGGAGAATACCTTTGGAACACAAGAGACTTTTGAGCAGGTTTTCAAGCGGGCGTTACAATCGTGCGACCAGAAGCAGACTTATTTTGTGCGTGCTGAGATTTATGAACAGTCGGATAAGTCTGAGGTTGGTTTGAGAGAGCAAAACGGTGTAATGTGATATGAATTGTGTCGTTACACGCTTTATGCCGATAAGGCTGTATTAACGTATCTTGTCATTATAGCTGGCCGAGCAGACCTACCAAACAATGCTGAAAAAGTTCTCTCAGAGTTCCAAAGTATGGACGAGAGCAGGACTGTTTTACATGTTACAAGGAAAGCTCGAGGCAGCTCGCAACCTGCTGCAGAGAAGTTTGAAGTCACTCCCTAAACATAAACGTATGCATGCCATTATTGATATGTTCATATTTTTGTTCCTTTTGCTCACGACTCAATATTCAACATTAGATGTAAAGACAATATCAAAATTTGCTCAGATCGAATTTAAACACGGTGAACCTGAACGCGGGCGAACAATATTCGAGGGTATAATGACCACTTATCCCAAACGCATTGATTTATGGTCGATTTACATAGATATGGAGATTAAAGTGGACGATGCAGCAGCAGTTCGGTGGGTATATCACGTCTACATGATCCGTAAAATACGTTTGTACGTTCAATTTACTAAACTACTTTCGATTTTTTAACGCAGGCGGCTCTTCCAAAGAGTGACGTCCATAAAATTTTCATCTAAAAAGATGAAATTTATGTTTAAGAAATGGTTAATGTTTGAGAAGACACATGGGACGGAAGATGATGTTGAAGAAGTGAAGAATAAAGCAAAAATTTATGTCGAAGGAGTGGGTGCTTGAAAGACAGGAATGTGAATGAAGGGATTGTTGTTCATCAGAAATTTAGGTTATAGCTTAATTTAATATTAAAACGCGTTTAATGATAAAATTAGCTAGTTACAGCACAAATAGCAATTGACACTGAAATTAACAGATAAACTATATCTATCTATATAAGAGTAGAATTTCAATATCTTTTGCAGAAAATTTTTATTAAAATTAAAATTCAATATACCCATTATATTTCAACAATCAAATAACATTATCCATTCCTCCTCCTTCCATTCACATTATCACATAAATACCAGGCATTAGGCCAAGTTTCTTTATTGATTCAGTTAGTAATGTAGATAGCATATGCTTTCTCATGTATTAGCTGTCTAAAAACAGCTTTAGCAGTTGTCAACAAAGATCCTATAAAATCGAAAAGTTCGGTGACTTATATGATAAGAAACTGAATGCATTTTTGTTTGGAGAATTGAAATAAGGGAAGAATTAGGGTTGAATTGATTTGTAAATTCTTAATCCTATTTGAAAGGTTGAAACTAGGAGATTTTGTTTCCTTGGAAAAGGAGGAAGAGATAGTAATGGTTCTTAATGAAGAAAACATTTAAGTATTATTATTATGGATTTAAACGCGGCAACATTTCTCGAAATGGAAACTCTGGATCTCAAAAAAAAAAAAAAAAAAAGACAAACCTGAAGCATGCATTCTCTTCATACAAAATGTTGTGGAATATGAAAGCATATGTTAATGTATTATCCCACTGTTTGATCTTCTCATTATCTCTTACCATTTTTACTATTTTTATGAGCTCTCTTTCAGATCATCATGCAATTAATTATTCTCAAAATTTTCTATGCCATCTAATACTAAACCCTTCACACCTTTCAATTCCTTATTTTCAATCAAGCATGTCGAATATTCTCTCATCCTTTCTCTACCCCTTTCCTCAGCAATGGAACCAGTGTAAACTTGAGAAATAAGGGATCATTATTCTCTCTATTAGAGTATATAGTAAACGGAGACGAGGACTTTGACCCTCGCTTGTTTTTATATCTAAAACGGATAATAATGTTCGAGTATAGAAACCAGCGCAGCAACTCATTGGGCCTTTTTAGTGCAAGAGCACCTTTACGTTCAATCGTAGGTGCAACTAATAAAGGAACGCAAAACTCCAGCAACTCATTGGGCGCCCAGTTGAGAGCCTGCAAAATCAATCATATTAGGGAAACACGAAGAGAAAAGGGTTGAGATGACCATCTGTCTTGAAATTGTGTAGTAGTATTGAAGTCTCCTGCACAAATTAAGTTATGCAAAATAGGTAGAGGAAAAGAAGACCAAAATTGAGTTTTGAACAGGCGGAGCGTAAATATTTCTTATGGAGAATGGAGAGGAATGAGATGAGAAGAATTCATTCATCAGGGGGTAGAAATAGGATGCTTGCGTTACACCATATCATAATCATTGAGAACTTTTAAACTTCATTATTATAACGAAAATGAGTAAGTAGTGGATTTATCCTCGGGCCTCTCATCGGACTACGAAAAGCTTTACGAGAGTGGCAAATATACGGACGTTTCAATTCATGTTGGAAAAGAGCCAAATAGCAAAATATTTCTCGCACATACGTTGGTATTATGTACAAGAAGTGTATTTCTTGAGAATAGTTAACCGGAAATGCAGAGACGTCTAAAGAGGTCCAAAGGACTGCTATGATTTTTGAAGACGTATCACCTGATCTTTTCGAAATCTTGCTTCGGTAATAAAATATTATAATTATGTAATTTGTGCACCATATCAATACTAATACTCATTGCAACTTAATGGTTTATTATAGGTATATTTACACCGGGCAACTGTTCTATGATTCATGCAAGAATATTGATTGGATTAACCTTTTGGATGGAGCTAGCAAGTTTGAACTATTTGATCTCTTCAGTGCAATTGAAACTTATTTGATTGATAAACAACAGGAATGGATTCAACAGAATATTGTCACAGTTCATAAGTATGCTCACTCTACTGTTTCTTTGAACAGACTTCTGGACTATTGCAACCAGATTATGATTTCACAACCAGATGTTATTTTTAAATCAAATGATATTGCAACCTTACCAAAGGAGACTCTGATTACTCTTCTCAAGAGTGAAGAGCTTAGCATGGATGAAGATGATGTTTGGATTTCAGTCATACAATGGGCTACTAAACAAGTGCCTGAACTAGAATTTGGCAATGATCTAGATAACTGGTCATCTAATGATATTAACACAGTCAAAAATATCATAACAGATTGTATACCTCATATAAGATTTTTCAGTATTTCCTCTGAAAAGTTTGTCCTCTATGATGATTTGTTACCAAGAAAATTGCGTTGTGATGTACTGAATTATCACATACATAAAAATTACAAACCAAACACTTGCATATTACCACCAAGAAGGGGACAGGATATTGATTCATGTATTATTAACAGAGAACAAGCAAGGTGGATCTCATCAAAGATTGTGGAAGCAAATAGGCAAGGCAGTCAAAGGGCATCTATGAAACAAAATAATAAGAATGTTCATAAACTTACTTTACTTTATAGACAAAGTAGAGATGGTGGTACACTTGAAAAATTTAGAGAATTGTGTAATGACAAAGGACCTACAATTGCTGTTGGAAAAGTGTTAGGTGCTGGAGAGATATTTGGTGGATATAACCCATTTGCATGGGGTTATAAAAATAAAAATGCATGGGTCAAAACTGAAGAAAGTTTTATATTTGCATTGGATACAAATGTATCTAAGAATATAGTAAGCTTTGTTGATAATAGTTTATTTGCCATTTGTGATCATACGGGATATTTTCCTATTTTTGGAGATGGCTATGATTTATTTTTTGGAGATAACTATAGCAAACCTTCTGCTTGCAAAAGGGCATACCAGGTTCCAATAAGAGATTTATCAGGTGATTTTGAATGGACTGATTGGGAGGTGTTTTCAGTTTCCATATCCTGAATTGCTTTGTAATATCAAGCTATGCCAATATAGTCAAATTGGCAACTATTGATACTAATACAGTTTACAGTGTTTAATGCATAGTTATTTAACATTGAGTAGTATTATAATAAATAATACATTCACATGATAAATTAGTTTTTGCTCTGCTAAACTGAAGTTTACATTGTCTCAACAAGCAATTATCCAGAAATTGCATTATTGCAAGCATGGTATGTAGAATACAAGGGTTCTTCTTGTTATGCAATACATGATTAATACACTTTGTATTTAGCAAACATGCTTACTTCATCATATAGATGGAAGGTAAGTTATCACATAATAATAAGGACATAGTGATAGTCAGACTAGCCCCTACACATGCATGATATCTGATGAATATTTTCAATATTGTTCTGATTAACTATATGTAGCATCGAAAATATTATCCTTGGTGGTAGAACCTCAAGGAAGAGTTTTCACCATAGACTAGGATACTCACGAGAATATCATAGTTACCCCTCGGCATAGTAAATTGTCTACCTATTACAGTGCCCCTCAAACGGCAGAATGATCGGAGATAATTCAAGGACATTAGTTACACTTTCGATATTACATCTCAATTTCATATCAGCACTCTCTGCCATTGACATGAGTCCCTAGGTATGACGCTTGGTGATGGCTAAGTCTGTATTCGAGTTACTCCTTCAGTGATAATAATCGAATTCTTTATCAGTTTCAATTTTCATTCGACTCCATGTTTTACCCTGCATAACGTCAGCGATCAACAGGATTTAATGCATAGTCAGACTTTTGTCCCATTATTGAAACTGATTTGTTCGAACGATAGGATAATAAATGCAATTTTAAACCTCTCGTAACGAAAGTGAGTGAGGAATAATATGCGTTTTACATCTCATTCGCTGGAACAGATGTTACTCACTTAATAAACGAAACCTATTCGCTGAGAAGAACAATGGTCGAACAAGAGTTAAAGATGTTGCGTTAATAATATCATTTATATCAAAATGGGCTGTTGGTTTCATTATGTGCACCTTCGTGGTGAACATTTAATAACTTTCTTAGCCGACATGAAGAAGGCTAATACCAATGCACCCAAAGGGGGCAAAGATATAGTCCACACTATTTACACTTGTTTGTTCCTTTCAGGTTATATCTTTATTGGCCCCACAAGAGTTAACGCTTATCATTATCTCTGGGAGAAAGGCGTATTGTTGTCTAATGCATACACATACCGTTGGATACAACAAAACGATTTATCATTCGCCGGAGTTCATCTCACTTAACATATCGAAGAAGCACCGATATCATTTATGGATATCGTTAGCCTAGTTGACAATGTTATGATTTTATGAGTTACTTATATTCCGTTGCAACTGGGTTACGCTCGACGCTTAACGAAGAGTTAATACCTTAATCGCTAAACTAAAATAGTTCGATGTGACGCCAAGCGAAATATCAAGAACACTACGCTCGTTGGGTTAAGCTTCCCTGAATATTAGAAGGAATACATAGAGTCGGGAATATTCATCTAGACATGTGGTTATCGTGGCGAGTCGTATACGTAACGGCTAATACAGTTATGATTCGTATAATCGTTATCACAGGCTCATAATGGAGCGATGATGAAAAGGACCATCATGTTTAGCCATCTTAAAAATGTGATGGCCCTCTACTGGTCATGGACCTTTCTAATAATAACGCTAGTTATGGACAAGACAACCATTTAGAGTCAAGTCTTGAGCATGCATTATCATTTGATTTAAATACAATATCTGGGTGTGAAACCATAATTCGATTGCAATAACCCAGAAGTCCTTTCAAGGGAACAGTAGAGTGAGGTACATAGAGCATGCACTGAAATTTTCCTCCTATTTATTCATGATTCTCAATTCACAATCTATCCACAGAATGGCTAGAATTACAAAAGCAGAGTGCCTGCTTTACTCCGCTGGATTTACTTAACACACCACAGCTTAAGATGATTCTCCGATAGGATGTGAAATAGGCGAGACAGATGGTATGTAATGCAGTTTGCAAAGTTTAGAGGATTGTGTAATAATAACAAAGAACCCACTGTTGCTATTGGTGGGTACTTGGTGGATATAACCCAAGTTATGGCGTTCCAAGGTGATTATTTTAAAACTGAAAATGCATTAGATAAAAACGCGAATAAGTAAACAGTAAGTGATTCAGATAATTTATGTGCCATTATTATTATGGTCGCAGTTTCCTTGCATTTGGGAATGGCGTTGATTTATTTTTTGGGTTAGAAAAAGTGCATACCAAGTTCCAATAAGAGATTGTGGATGTCAGTTTTAAATCACCAAAGCGAGTAAACAGACTACTGTGTTGGTGGAAGTTAAGCGCTTGATTTGTCGGATACATAATGATATTTATTTCTTTAAACGTATTATAATGATGAATAAAAAATCATGTGACACGAAATCCCCGCTCGGGGGCAGCTTTCAACTCCATGTCAGCATTGAGATGAGACGAATCAAGAAGATTGCACATCAACTTGGGAAATTGCTAGCATAGGCAATAATTTATAAAGTGCATTTCTCCTTGACTTTTTGCATTTCAGTATTAACGTTGCACATACAAAGAGCGCCAAAATTTTGTGTGACAGGTCGTGTGACTTCTATGCAGAATACATTCCACGTGATAACTACTATAAAAATTTCTCACAATTTTTGCTCTCTCTCGAACCGCAGTCAATCGTTGTCCGCTTGTCGTTTCAGACAGAAATGACGTCTTTCTACGACGAAGTAGAAATTGGTTGGTATGAAGGATAGAGCTCGAGGGGAGAGTAGAGGGGGAGTGTAGTTGGGGGACTTGTAATTTAGTTAAAGCAGTCAAGCGATTTGAATAGCAGAGTAATTCAATTGAAGTAGAGCGCACACTTGATTACAGTTGGCAAATAATGAAAATTTCTGACGCTTTATTCTTATTCGTTTTTAATTCGTTGTTTAGAGGACTTTGAGTTTGACGAAGATAATCAAACTTACCACTATCCTTGTCCTTGTGGAGATCGCTTTGAAATCACTTTGGTAAGTAGATATTGAAGACGACCAGTCGTTTAATATTAGTAGTTTGGTATATTGAACGTATTTGATGCTCTACATCACTTGATCGATTGTATACTCATATCACTCTCTCTTTGTCTATCAATAGGATGAACTAGCAGATGGAGAAGATATAGCTCGATGTCCGAGTTGTTCTTTGATGGTTCGCGTAATTTATGACCCGGTAAGAAGACAAAGGTTGCAATATTAGGAAATCGCTATACCATATGGGTTGAATATGTCTATTCAACTAACGTAATGCTGCTACGTAGGAGGACTTCCAAGAAGGCGGCGGCTCAAGCATTGATCTACCCATGCAGCCAATTGCTGTATAAAAAAATTGGCGTAACTTTGGTCGGCGTACGGAGTCAACAAAGTAGGGGTCCTGTGATGTATGCGTCGATGTAAATTGAATGCGAAACGTAACTTTTTTATTCATTATAATAAACAATTAATAAAGTCAGTAATAATTTTAATATGAAAAGAAGAAGGGAGGATAATATATATCATTAAGTAACAATGTCTCTCTAAACAGACAATAGCCCTATTACATCATCATTCCAGAAGGCAACCAGATTAGCCATCCCATCCACCTCTGCAACAACACGTAACGTACAGCTAATACGAATCTGTTTATTAATCCAAAAAGTCCGTCTCTTTAGCTACCGCAGTTAATTAAAAAAAAAAAAAAAGGAAAGAGAAAAGAAAACAAAGACTGATCGTACCAGCGCAGAAAGAAAACGTTAAAACTCCCCTCTTGTCTAAAAAAGAAAACATTCAACATGAAACAAAACATTTATATACAAATTGACAAGCGCTCACTTTCATTCTCATTAAGGATTAAAGTCTGAAAAAAGAAAGAAATTATTCACAATAGAAAATAAATCCCCGCCCTCAACGCCAATCGTACCGTACAAATCCTTCACAACCCCCCTCTCAATAAGCTCACACTCCCCCCAACGCCTCGCCCTCAACCTACATGTAATTAATTAATTCAAGTCTAACCGTCCTAACCCTACAACTACTTCACTGTATCTCCTATCTTCTACATCATATCCTTGACCCTTCCATATATCTCCATTTCCACCACCTGAGGCTACTGCTGCTCCCATCCATTCCACTCTCTCTTCATCCATTTGCCCAACTCCACATCCCCAGTCTTCATTCCACTGCATTTGATACTGATAGTCTTTATTAGACCACTGGTAGTACGGGCAATGTTGTTGGATTGCAGAGGCGTAGCCTTGATCCGGAATAAACGTTGAAAATATCATCGGTATTGATGGCTGAGCATAATATGATGCATCATTGTCGTTGTTGATATTGTTCGGTAAGGACGAAGAGGAAGAAGTTGTAGAAGAAAAAGGGAAAGCGAGAGGTGTATGTATGAGGTGATGGAGGGAAGTGTTACAGTAGTCTTGTTGGAAGAAGTAACTACAATCTTGTATATCGTTCCATTCTTTTTCTCCGCTGTCTGCGAGTGCGAGAGGAGTTATTGGTGTTAACGGACAGGATATGGGACCTAGTCGAGGACTCGGACCTGGCGTATGGGGTGGGCTTGTAATGTCTTGGTTTTGCAATGGAGAAGAATCATTCCCAAAAGTATGCATATATAGAGGGGGAAAGGGGGAAAGAGGGGAAAAGAGGGAAAGGAGGGAAAAGAGGAGTATATAAAGCCACGTCGAACACGAATGGTAGAGTTTTTCAAAGTGAAATTCGTTAGTACTCGCATGGCATGAATAACATCAAAAACCCCATATATACTTGAATACCCAGGATCAACTGTAGTTCAATAGTACCTGCTATTGCACTCTTCTCACGCACACATACGAAATATTCGCTTAAAAGTTACTCTTGACAAACTTACCATAACCAATTCCATGCGCAGACCCGTTTCCTCTCCTATGGGCTTCTTTATTCTTCCTTCGTTCATCCATTTCTTTTGTGTCCTAAGTGCACTCGTACCACATGATGGGATTGATGATGTTAAATGTAAAAAAAAAAAGTGCAACCTTATGAAAATTTGGTAATGTGGGGGATTTGAAATGCGGGGATGTGGGAGGGAAATAGTGCAGATGGAGCGCCGTGTGCTACGGTAGATCGACAGGATGATGCAAGTCGGCGAGTAGAAAAAACCTGTTTGTTCGAAAAGGATAAGGGGGTGGATAAGAAAAGAGGGAATCGATGCAGTTAAGGTTTGATTCGGTGTTTAAAGAAGGAGATGGTTGGTGCACTCATTAGTTGATTAAACTAAACTAATTATTAATTCTATTTGATAAACTTAAAATATAATTTCGATAATCATGCTCAACTATTAATGTGTTTGTATCACTAATAATGTATTGTCAACGAAACTGATTGTCTCCTGCTCATGCACAGGGCACTAGTCTGTTTGTGTATGCTTGCTGTGTTTATTATGGTAATAATAATTGGTCGTAACCTATATTTCGACATAAACAATTTATTTGTTGTTTGCAGAAACCATGTTCTAACAAAATAAAAATGATAATATTTAATTATATCGATTGTTCGTCTCCTATAAAATAGTACGAATTACTGCCAGTTTTAGTTAGGCCTCGCAAACACATTCCCTCCCCTAATAGCTCAGAGGCCCGATGTAGTATCTCAACCAACTACCGAGCGGGATTCCGACGGGTCTATCTATAATCCATTCGAGAATGAAGGCCATATGCTCGATGACCAGCTGAAAGGCCATGTACGTTAGGAGCAAAATATTTGTTGTGGGCGTAGACGACTCTGCTCTGGTTATCATCATATGTGTTGTTGGGGATGAAACGAGATAAACGCCCTGGATCGGTGTGACTATGCGGATGGATTGGGAAGCGGTGACATCTGTGGGAAGATGAGCTGTAGCGGTTGTGGTGGGGGAGGAAGAGAAGAAAAAAAAAGGGGGCGGGCGATCATATGAGAAAATTGTAAACAAGAAAAAGGAACGCAACTACGCCGAATAGATGCTCGTCAATAACGATATTCGTATGTACTAACAAGGCAATTCGTTTGAAGCGATATCTTTCAATATCACTGGCAGCAAGTCTTCTTCGTCTTCCTCATCCTCGATATATTTGGTTACTCTCATTGTGGCGCTGTTGACGATTGAAACCCTTTTTATAACCTCAGTCTCATCGCCGTAACCCTCTTTGCTGCGTGTGCATGGTGGGTGGCTTCCCAATAAAGATTGATTTGCTAAACAGTATGGTTTTGATATTTTGGGAATGTGAATAATTAAATATGCGTATTCAATACATGCAGACATATTTGAAAGAGCGGTTACTTTGTTTATCGGACTTGGCTGTGTCCGATGCATTCTCTTCTGACACATTGTATGCTGTATTCTCTCCTGGTGCAGTTTCTGGGGCAGCAGCAGCAGCAGCAGCGGCAGCGGCAGCAACAGCAGCATTTATTTTCGTTGCATCGCCGCTAGTACTTGTTTTCTCAGTTGACTCTTTCGTAATATCACCTGATGCTAAAAAATTAATTAATTAATTAATTAAAAAGTTAGAAATCCAGAAAAAAAGTATTCTTTTACATTTTCCCTCCAGTCTCTTACTTTCATCCTCTTTTGGACATTCTCCCAAATTTATGGCTGGTATTTCGCCGTTCACTGGTTCTGCTTTAAATACTGTAGCACAATTAACGCCCATCTATTACTATCAATTTTTTTCATTTCACGTCTTGGATACTTACGAGGAGAAGCAATAGCTCTCCGCAATGAATCGAAATCTCCATTAAATGTGACTTCTGGAGCCGCGGGCGGAGAGGATGTGTCCTTTTAATTTATCGTTAAAAATTAAGAATAAACAATAATTCAATGCATAAAGATCACAAAGCTCGATCATTTTTTTTTTTACCCTCGGGGCTTCCTGTCTGTCATTATTAATTGGCTTATTCGGGGCCTCCTTGCGTGGCTTCTTCTCTGAAAGTTTCCTCCAAATCTTGCCAAATTTCCCCACCATATCTGATATCGAGAGTGTGTATGAAAAAAGAGATGGCGAAAAGAACTCTGCCAAGGCGGATGATATTTATATGCCAGTTTCCCCGTTGATTACCACATTCTTGTCAACAACCGAGAAATCTTTCGTAAACGGGCGAAAACTGACCTAACCATTTTCTTCGCGTTGTGACGCTATGATGTGTAATATTTGAGGTTTATGTGTCAATATATAATATGACATATTAATATTGGTGTATGCCATATGGTTGGGTAATCATCAATGACGTACGAACACGCAAGGTAATGCCAGCTGCCATAACATCTTTCGGCGGCAAATTCTCGGGATCAGAATGTTAGTGTAGTAGTACTGGTGACGAAAGTAATTATCCACGTGATAACAGATCATACTGATGATCGATAAGATGATCATAGAGATAATAAAACAAAGAATTTTGTTATACCATACCAAGAAGAGATATTCTTAACGGAAAAATATATAACGTAATGGACGACGCTTCCAAGACCTTGGTCATTGATAATGGGACAGGGGTGAGTTGTTGTATACGCCGACTTGGGCGTTAAGGTGTATGGATTGTGTGAGTGGTGAGTGGAAAAAATGCACAAGTTTTGCGGATGCAGTTTGCTATGAAACAGGCATGGAAATTTGAGATCAAACAACCCCATTTAGCTTTGTCTTGCCGCCGTCTAAGTCTAGTCGCTCTTGCTATCAAGTGTACGATCGTATTGTAATTACCATTGTGCTCGACTATGCACACACACACACACTTTTCTCCTGCATATGTAATCTAACATTGCATACTTTTTCTCACTGTCCTTTTTGAAAAGTTTGTGAAAGTGGGCTACGCAGGCTCCAACTTTCCGCAACATGTTTTTCCCTCGGTAGTTGGTCGACCCATCTTGCGTGCAGAGGAAAAAATCGGTTCTGTCGAGATACGGGATATCATGGTTGGCGATGAAGCAGCCGAACTTCGGTCTATTCTACAAATGTCGTATCCTATGGAAAATGGAATTGTAAAGAAGTGGGATGACATGAGGCATCTGTGGGATTATACGCTTTTTCAAAAGTTAAAGTGTGATCCAAAGGAGTGTAAGGTGTTGTTGACTGAGCCGCCGATGAATCCGTTGAGTAATAGGAGAGAGATGGTTAGGGTCATGTTGGAAGAGTATGGGTTTAAGGGAGTTTACGTGAGCATCCAGGCTGTTTTGACTTTGTATGCTCAAGGTAGGCAGGCAGGGGTGGTATAACGGGTGGGGAAGTATTAGATCGCTTAGGTTAATATGAAAGCGGTGTGGGATTTGTGGATGTGTGTCGCCAGAGTATACACATTAAAGCGTAGTTGACTATATCTGATCACCCTATTTGTCTTGTCTTGTTAGGTCTGATGACTGGTGTCGTCGTTGACTCTGGAGATGGAGTGACTCATATAGTCCCAATATTTGACGGCTATGCCCTACCACATCAGACGCGTCGATTGGACGTTGCTGGGCGAGATGTGACGCGATACCTTATAAAGTTGCTTCTACTCAGAGGCTATGCTTTTAATAGAACAGCTGATTTTGAGACTGTTAGACAGATGAAAGAGAAGCTTTGCTATGTAAGGTGTGTTAATATTTTCAGATTCCAGGAATATTAGAGGTTGTGAATAACGTAACGAAGAATGATAAATCTTTTTATCTGTTTTCGTGCGGCGTTATAGTTACGATCTTCAATTGGACCAGAAGCTAGCTACTGAGACGACTGTGCTTGTAGAAAACTACACGGTAAATAATGCCATAAATTTCGAAAATTTCTTTTGTATAGTAGAATCCCACTTATTCATCTGCTTGTCTAGTTGCCAGACGGTCGTGTTATTAAAGTAGGATCAGAACGATTTGAGGCTCCAGAGTGCATGTTCCAACCGCACTTGATTGACGTGGATCAACCTGGAGTGGCCGGTAAGTATAAATGATTTGTTTTAGAATTCGTCATAGTATCATGCATACTCACTCCTGTGCTGTATTTGCACAGAAATGCTCTTCTCGGCAATTAATGATGCCGCTCTTGATGTGCGACCTGAACTCTACAGACATATAGTCTTGTCTGGTGGATCATCCATGTACCCTGGGTTACCTAGTCGTTTAGAGAAAGAATTGAAGCAACTGTATTTGGAAAGAGTGGGAGGCGGAGATGGATCCAAGTTACAGGTATGGTAACAACTAACCACGTGAAATCATCAAACTACAATCTACAATCAACACTAACGCTAATTTGTTCAAAATTCTATATAGAAATTAAAAATTCGCATTGAAGATCCTCCCCGACGTAAACATATGGTATTCCTGGGTGGCGCAGTGTTAGCTAATATCATGAAAGACAGAGAGAGCTGGTGGATTACCAAACAAGAGTGGGAGGAGATGGGTCCACAGTGTCTGGATAAATTGGGAAAGGGCGGAAGTGTATAAGCAACGTTCATTTTGTATGAAATCACCTAGAGTAAAAAGTAATAATGAACTTTTTAGTTCATTCAACCTCGAATTATTGTAGAGCATATTTATAAATAAATTATTACTTATTGCGTTTCCTTGCTCACTTGTACAGTCAACTCTGTCTATACCGGCATTGTCTATACCGGTTTTGCCTTATACCGGTCCAATTTCGCTGAACCAAAAA